GTAGAGCCTGAAGAAGAATTTATTGAAAACAATTGTTCGCTCTAAATATTTTGTTCTGAATAAATTATGGGAATATTTAATTTACTGAAATCTAGTGAGCATCCCGTAGCTCTAAAGGCACTTAATGAGTACCTGAAGTATAGTGCTAGGCTCACAGAAGCGAAAACGCATATGGAATTTATTCGAAATTGTATTGTGAACAACAGGTATCCTAAATTATATTCAAAATCCCTTCGTCGATGCAAAACACGACCGAATCAGAAGTCACTAAAGCGATTCGCCGTTAATCAAATCGAATCACTTCAAGTTTATATATCTGAACTAGAGAGAAATATTTCTCAAAGACTTTACGCCGTCGATGAACTTCCTCAAAACCTGAAGGATTTATTTATTAACTACGTTAATGAAGTTCTAAAAACTCGAGAAAGCAAGAAATTGATATTATTAACCAAAGGACTAGATACAGAAACGACTGAAACTCATTTTCCAATTGACTATAACCGGTACGTTTTCAATTTTTCCTCTGTATGCTTAGATAAGACACAGCTTGAAGCCTTATCTCTCGGTTTAAAATTCTGTGACAGACGTAATCAGGTTGATCATTTAGAGACTGATGTCCAATTTGAAAACCTATTTGCCCAGACAAGCGACCTAACTCCTACGTCCAAGTATGAGCTAGAAAGATTTAAAAGTACCCTAATCGATTCCTGCTACCAGTTTAAGAACAGCAAACATCCCGCCAACAGTCTACTTACAAAGAAACACCGAGAGGCATTACGTGACCTCAAAAAGAACGAAAATCTGATAATAACTAGACCTGATAAAGGATCTGGCACAGTTATCATGAACAAGAGTGATTATTTAGACAAAATGAATATCATTCTAAACGACCATACGAAATTTCAAAAGCTAAGCAGTTGTAAAGACACAACGGAGGCAACCGAACGCCAAATGGCCAAGACACTAAAATCATTAGTTGAGAGTAATCTGATTCCTAAAGAAACACTCGACGAATTGAAACCCTCAGGTACGCACACACCAAGACTTTATGGTTTACCGAAAGTCCATAAGCCGGGAGTACCACTACGTCCCATCTTAGATATGTGCCAATCCCCTTATCATTCTACAGCTAAGTGGTTGGTAAAGGCACTAGAACCACTACATCGCGAAGTAGTGAAATTCAGTGTAAAAGACGTATTCAGCTTTGTGGAAACTACCAAAAGCTTGAATGTAAAGGGAAAGAAAATGATGTCACTGGATGTAGCATCATTATTCACCAATGTCCCACTGCTTGAAACAGTCAACTACATATGTGACCAGCTGATAGAAAAGAAAATAGATGTAGGAATCCCACCCGAAAAGGTCAAAGAATTATTATTGAAGTGCACTATGAATGTTCAGTTTATGTTCAATAATGGTTTTTATAGACAAGTTGATGGGGTAGCCATGGGATCACCTTTGGGCCCTTTGCTAGCGGATATTTTCCTGGCAAAGCTTGAAAATGGTCCACTCAAAGACACGATTAAAGGGTTTGACTATTATTGTCGATACGTAGATGATACGTTTATCGTTTGTAATAGAAATCTTAATAAACAAGAGCTTCTGAATACCGTTAATAGTGTTCACCCAACTATTCAGTTTACATGTGAAGAAGAAGACAATAACAGTTTACCTTTCCTAGACGTCCTACTTACCATGAAGACAGACGGATATCTACAAAGGAAATTATTTAGAAAGAAAACTTGGACGGGTCAGTACACCCATTTCCATAGTTTCACACCGATTCAGCATAAAAGAAACTTAGTTAAGTGTCTTAGCTACAGAATAAAACGAATATGCTCAGAGGAATGCATTAAGGAAGAAATGCATAAACTAAAACTCACACTGCAAGAAAATGGATATCCACAGAGCTTCCTAAAAAAGTATATGTCAATACCTATAGACAGGGTAAAGGTGGATACCGTAGACAAGAAACCTTTGTATCTTAAGTTAAGTTACAAAGGGGAAATTGCAGCTGACATTCTAAAGTGTCGACTCAATAGAGCAATAGATAGAACATTTCCCGCAGCTAAATTGGTACTAAACTTCTCAACTAAACCAGTACTCACACAGCAAGTAAAGGATAAATTACCAAAGATGGCCTCATCAATGTGCATCTACGAATTCAACTGCTCATGTGGAGCTAGTTATATTGGCCGTACTCAGAGGGCTTTATCCATGCGCGCACGTGAACATGTACCTGTATGGTTGAGTAAAGGAGTAACCAAAGGCATAAATAGTGCAGTCTTAGCCCACTTGGTAGATACTGGACACCCGATAAAACTTGACCAAGCGTTCTCAGTTATTTACCGCGTTCCTAGTAATTTATCTAGAGGAGCTCGACTACGTCTTCTATCAGTAGCTGAAGCAGTTGCAATTAATACCAGAAGACCATCCCTCTGCATACAGAAGAAGTATGTTCAACCTCTATGTTTACCTTGGCCTACAATAAAGCCAACAAATCCTCCATTAACACTATAAATTCCTTTCGCGATTTTCTTTTCTTTTCCTTCTTCTATTCCTCTGTTTCATTGACAAACGTTCATTTTCGACTTTTATGATTTCATGACCTTTCTTATGATTTTATTACCTTAGGTTTAAATAGTGCTTTTCTAACTTACTATCGTATTTACAAAATCCTGTTCATTCCACTTCATTATATTCATTATTATTATTTGACAATCATTCACCAATAGTACATTTAATTTTAATTTTACACCATATCATCGTTATTATTTTACAATCATTCTTATTGTTGTTATTTTCAACCTTGAACTTAAGTCTAGACCGCCCCATTCGTTGGTTTATTTTCATATTGCCTCACACACCCTGATTACACTCACTCTTGAAACCTGTATTTTCTGTTAACTATATATATATATATATACACATCATTAAATTAAATTATTTCATCTCATTCTGTCCCATGTTGTTATTGACCATGCATATTAAAAAAACTATATGACTATTGTTTCATCCCATCTTATACTTGTTCCACAATACACTTTCTGATATGATTCTAATTCGCCTTTACTGGCTATTGTATGCTTACATTAATGGATTTATAATTGTAGAGCCTGAAGAAGAATTTATTGAAAACAATTGTTCGCTCTAAATATTTTGTTCGAAATAAATTATGGGAATATTTGATTTAGGAAAGTATTATGTCTTGTCATCCTGGAGAGACTAAGAGAAGCTCTGGACTCGAAAATCCATCCAGAACTAACTGAATTCAGAAAAATCTAATCGTGTGCGGATCAAATAACAACCCAATGCATTATCATTCGACAGAACACAGAATGACAGTAAAACCTCTACCTCAACTTCACCGCCTTTGAAAAGACTTTCAACATCGTTGACCGAGAGGTATTTCAACACTACGGAGTGCCCAAAACTTTGATCAACCTCATTCAACTGGAATATGACAATCCCGCGTGTCAGGTAATCTATAACGGAAAGCTCAGAGGAACAATTGAAGTGGAGACAGGAGGAAGACAGTCCTGTCTACTATCACCAACGGTATTCCTAGTTCTGGTGCACTGGACTGTGTGGGAGACTGTGGGGAGAGAGAAGATGGGAATACGCTGGACTGATAGGAAGACTCTAGAACATCTAGATTTCAAGGGTGATTTATGTACAATCTCACACAAGCTCGAAGACCTACGAAAAACCTACAAAAACCAACAAACTGGTAGAAGATGCTGGCAACGAAGAAAGGACTTCAAGTGAACGGAGGTAATGAAAATAACCAACCAATGACAAAAACCAGCACATATTACCAACAACAGAAAAAAATTTGAAAGAGGTTACTTCCTTCACTTATCTGGGAGCATCGTTTCAGCTACGGGTGCAACCGACGGGGATGTCAAAACCAAAATCGGAAGGCAAGACAGACGTTCATCACTCTGAAATCAGTCTGGAAATCTTCTGACTCAGAATAGAAGACAAAATTCGGATTTTCAACATTAATATTAAATCAGTTAGTTTTTCCATATGGGTCAGAAAATTAGCTCGTCACGGGAAGTATTTTCAACAGCAAGCTGACGACTTTTATCAACAGCTGTCTTAACCCGATGCTGAGGACCAAATGGTCGGCCGGCCGGGAAGAATTAGCAATAAGAAACTCTGGCAACGAACAAACCTATCGGTCAAAGAATATTTCAAAGAAAATGGAGACGGATCCGACAAATGCCGAGGAGACTGCCGAATGACATCGCGCGCCAGGCCATTGCTCGTGTGGAAACTGAACAGAGGACAAGGATTCGGGAGTACAAGGGCGACGTGGGGGAGATGAGGGACTACGGTCAATCACAGCCACAGCTAAAGAAAGTGGCGAATAATAGGAAAAGGTGGAGTTGTGCTGTCAAAGCCTTGTGTCCCACTCTGAAACTTAGGGAAAGATAACAAAGGTGATAATAATAGAATGTTGGTCTGCAGACGGGATGTCCAGAACGCAAACGCTCACATTCAAGATAATTATCTCTAACTTGAGCAACAGCCAAATAGCCTATCAAAAGTTGTCTTCAGGAGTTATGACAACACCTTGCCCATCTGGGATATGGATGACCACCAATTTTGTATAATTTCACTGATGGTTGTGACTCCTGTCGACATCTTGGAGATGAGAGACCAAGGTCATTCGTTGGGACAGCTAAAGAGGACCGCGAAGAATAGGTGAGATGAGCTGTTCCACTCTGATACGAAAGGAACAATAATAATGATATAATATATACGCTTTAAATCATATAATATATATTGAATGTCATTTTTAAAGCTACATGTCAAAAGCCACCTCAACGCCACCCTGTGTGGAACGGCGAGGAATGGCTTTAGAAATGCTGTCTTTCTTATCTAAATAGTGACATCATACAGTATATATGCTTTAAGTTCATATGAGATGAAAAGTCAACAGATACAGATACCTAGTACTTAAATCATCACAAAAAATACTAATAAATTACTTGTGTTTCCTGAGATCCTGGATACAAACACTCCCACGAAATAGGATGATTCACATCCAGTTTGTAAAAATCATCCAAAGTAACTTTTCTGTCTCCAACTTCGAAAACTCCACCATATAAGTACAGATTAGAACCAACCAAAGCCAGTCCTGCACTAGCCCTGGGTGACGGACATATGCACGTGGAGGCACTTCCTCTAGGTAGTTTAACACTAGCTTCTCCAACAGCCACTTCGACTAATTTTCTTGATAATGAATCGAGCGGAGTGGAATTGGCAGATTCATTTGGATATTCCAGACGTTCAGCTAAAGATTTAACCACATCGAATTTACACAATGAGGCTGTTAAGCAATGAATTCGAAAAGTAACAATGTTTGTGAGTACCATGTTATTATACTGCCCTTATAGAGCTTGGTGTTAATGAAACTGTGAATTAAATACGCATTCAGTTAAGTACTCAAAATCCCAATGTACATTCCGAATTCAGGTTTTGTTTAGAAATACTATTCTCTGTACAAGCTCATGCCCTTCTGGAGTTCGTGTACTATATTAACAGACTACAACTTCCTGCAACAGCACAGTAATCATGAAATAAATCATAGCTTGTGTGAGCAAAAGTCAAACACTAAAACTAATGATGTCGATGTCTCAGAATGACAGCACTCATTTGACGACAGCTTAAGTGATACCTAAACACAATTGACGGGACTATATAATGACTTGCATAGTATCATCATTTGGTACTAGTATTCCCCTTCTAACGCACAACTCGTTGCTAGAATGACACCACCTAATGCGCTATGCTACATAAAACTTTCAGGAATAGCTACTCCCAGCAGCTCACTTCTAATAGACATTGCATTAAAACATACATATGAATACATACCTCAGGTGCCACTGACATTTTTGTTGTTAGTTACGCGTAACCTATTCTACATGAATTTAGAACAGAGGAGCGCTGAAGAGGCGAATTAAAGGATTTTTGAGAAAGGACATAAATCATGAATGGAGGACAAGGGGAGCACAATACAGAGAATATTTGCAAATGAAGACTTCAATTTATTGTACCATTATTTCTATGCGTCAGGAATCCAGAGGTGGAATGCTAGCCAGCTACGCACGTGGTCAGAATTCTCCTCGCGGCCGACGCACTTCTACATCCTCAATGGTTTACTAACCAACAGTACGTCCAGGAAAGAAAAAAGTTTGGTATCAGCCAACTAATTCCGCTCCATAAAAGGGAGTAACAACACTGCTACTAAAATTTCAAAACTTGAAGCCTTATGTTTCACCTGGAAAGAAAAGATACGATAGCCGTATTATGCCTTATCTGTACATCAAACCGCCCATAATAAATAGTACATGCTGAATTTTTCGACCAACTATAAAATTTTCCCATTTATAAAATTAAATGCGTAAGTTCTAACCTGAATGCTCAGCTTTTTCTACACAAAGACTGAATGTACGCCACTTGGCTTTCTCTAAATCCAACAGAAACAAATCATTATGGAAATAGCTGTTCATTTTCTCTCCATCTTCACTTTCAACATCATGTACACCACCGAATATGAAAGCACGATTGCCACCAATATGAACACCACTCATGGAGATACGAGGAGGCTTGGGCGCGTGCCAGAAGATCTAATAACGGAGCAGGCAACCGGAGAATTTCCTATAGAGGGGAAGTTGCATAAACAAAACACGTCAGATGATATAACACTTGTGTTATAACGTAGAGCAAGAGCCACACTTACTTTCAAACGTAAGTCTGACTACATCGGAGTGAACTATGCCTTTCTCTTGATCCCGAGTAATGGCAGACTTACTGTAACCTCCAACGATGAACATGTACTTTTGATTAGCTCCGGCAAAGAACAAAGAAGCTGAGCGAGGACTTGGTGCACTTCCACTTAGTGCGAGACGCGTCCATTGTAAGACGGTCAAATCAAACTGCCACAAATCATCAAAATAAGTTGTTTTACTGAACTCATTAATACAAAAGAAACTAACCTTCCAGTATCACTGAAACCACCAAATAGTAAAATTTTATTTCCGCAAGTAATCATACGATGTCCGCTTCTTGCACATGGTCCAAATGAGCTGAGAAAAGTTATTATTCAGGATTCATAACAAACTTTATTAGCTCCCATTTTTGAGATCGTAAGCGAAGACACCACAAATCACTGTAATGATAAAATCTGGTTTGAGACGGTGATATGAACTCTCCGCCATATATCCAAATGCTCGAAGGGGTGGATTCAGTTTTTACGTACACCGCCTTTAATACTATATTGAAATAAAACTATCTAACCTGATGGCCTGATCGTGGTGTTGGGCAGTTAGGGCTGTCCAACTTGAGCCACTGGTTGACTTTACATTGATAAATTAGAAGATCGGAAAACATTTTAACCTAGATAATATCAAACGAAATTCAGGAACAACCCTTCGTCCATCAAAGAATTCACCACCAAACATAATCAACTCTTCACTATCTGGGCATGAAACTAAAGAAAAATGAGACCTTTACGTTAACTAAGGAGAGGAAGGCTAAAACCTTGGAGTAGGAGCAGATATTGCGACCAGCGTTGTTGTCGTGATTTTTTTCTGCTGATCTCTGAAACTTTGGATTAAATCCTCGAGTGAAGACTCTCCGGACTGCCTCTCGACCTTCTTAAGTCTCAGTTCCAACTTTCTTTGTGATTTCTTGCTATTTTCAGCTTTATTCCCCTTAGGTTTATCCTTCTTTCCCATATTTGTTAATAAAGATGGTTTGAGGCGGCTTGGTTAATATCCAGTGGATCTTTAGAGATTATCTCGTTAAGAGACTAGTAGAATCTATAAGAGAACAAGAGAAACGTAAGTGAGAGCAAGTACAGTCTTGAGAGATGTGACAGTAGCCTCAGTTTATGTGTACTCTGATTATTTGGCAATTATTCAGACCGGACGTCAAAGGCATGAACGCATTTGTAAGGAATATCCTGATGAGACATGCTCCGTGTAACCTGGCATTTTCTTCGGGCGCACTGCAGAAATCTTCGGGCGTAAAACTTCAGGGGCTTTGCAGAAAGTGGCACAGTTGTCCGCAGTCTACGGCAAAGTATCTGCCGTATGCCCAAAGTCAATACTAGATGGGATGTATGTCGCATTTTGCCTAGGTTACTAGTTACAGCAGCTCCCTGGGTTTTATTAGTAAATTATAATTTCCGATACTTTCATAACACCAATTAACAATTAGGCTGATGAGCTACTTCTGAAAATGCGTAGAAGGAGAGCACGGTGCTGAATCAGTGCCAGTCATGATGATAAACCAGCGCACAGTTCCAGTTTAAGCAAATAATCCGTAACTAATCTGCCATTGTTTGATCAATGGCAGAACAATTAAGGAATTTACTTACTAATGAGTGTTACTATATTAGCATAGTATACGTGAATTGGCTCAACGATTGCAGGTTTGCCATCATCCTTAACTACCAACACAATAACTGGGAAATTCAGGCTAAAAACATACGCTTATTAGTAGCAACCAGTGACAAAACTGACCTACAGACTGCAAAATGAGGAAAACACTCAAAAAAACTTTTAAAATAAAATGGAAAACGAATTCACGAAAATATATAACCAGCAGACGCAGGAACCCATCATGACCTTGAAAGTGACTACAGACTTTCACACCACAGGCAGGAAACGTACCGCATTAGCTCATTGTGGCCGCCTATCCTTCTATATTTAGATTCAGGTTTTCCCATTTATCCTGCATTTATTCACAACTCACCTTGATGCTCATTGTTCACAAATGTTGCGTTCCACCTCATTTTTGTTTCCGTTGCTGTTAAAACTTCTAATTTCGTGTGTTTCGAAAGTTTTTACAACAAGGGCAGTGCATTCATTTCATTACAATTGTTTCACACGTTCTTTTCATGCCTGGTTGGAATGATCCAGTTGTTTTTCAGCTATTAATGAAGTACTTCTGCGTAGAAGTTTTGGAAAATATGCACTTGAACGCGTTTAGCTAACAAAAGCTGTTGTTTTTAGTTCATTTGCTGGTCGTCGTTATTGTTTCTTGCTCAATTGATTTATTAGTATGTAGAAATCTGGAAAAAACGATCTCTTTCACATGCATGTCTACAGCTTGCAGCAATCTACGAGCCAATCTGGTGAGGAGAATACGATCAAGTTTGATATTGGCAAGGTTTACGAAGAGCATATTAAACCTGGAGATTTCAGAACGTGGTTTGAAGTTGAAAAAGCTTTGAAGCTTTTCGAGAAGCTGAGCATACCATCAGTGTATATTATCAGTTAAAGAATCAGGTATATTGTCAGAGAATCTAAATCAAACAAGGTTGAGTCACATGACAAGTGTGAATCTGTTGTGCCTGTATGTAGTTTTGCAACTGAAAGAAACTTGAAAGCAATGAGAAACGCCTGAATGGTTAGTGTTACCTATGTTCATTAATTCCCAATGTACCAGATCCAAATACACGAACTAAGACCTCCTGCAGCAGAGACAGTGTTAGCAGCCATTCACTGTGTCGCAAAAACCATTTCAAAAGCGCATAACATGGTGATCTGATGAGTGTACGAACCATCCTAGTTAAAGGAAGACTTTAATTAGAAAGAATAACGTTCCGGGTTTGGGCTACAACACGCTGAGGAGCTGATTATTATTCCGGGTGAGAATATTGGCTGAATACAGATTGCTTGCTTCATTTCTAATAATGAAATTCCTATTTTGTGGATGTTTGTGATTCCTCCGTGGCTATAAATACGAGTGCCCATGATCTTTGAAAAAACTAAATAAATTTTCCTAAGACCATTGATTTTCCTTTTCTTGGCGAAACATCTGTTAATACAATTAGAAGATTAGGTAGCAAAGTGGGATTTTCTGTCATTCAGAATCGCAGTCGTCGTGTTTCGGATTAATATCGCGCTTGTAACTGTTATAACCCTATGGATCTAGGTTTCCGCTCATGGTACATTATTATATCTAGAAGTCATAAGCACACCGTCTTCGGTAAATTTATTCTTACTTTTTAAGTGACTTCAAATAGTGAGTCATTTGAGGTGATAGGATGAATACCTCTAAACGCTTTCGTGGAGACTAGGATATATTCATTCTTTTTACTAGGAGACGATGCTTTTGCCAAAAAGGTTCCCAGGATGTCCGCTTTTACTTTGAACTTCAAAGATAATGTTAAGTTGCTCACTAAGTTAGTAGCTATGGGAGATTATCTTCCGCGTTAACCACTTTAAGGTAACTACGTAGCTTTAAGTAATGTGTCATAGAATGAAACAGCGCAGGTTAATTGTGTCCAAATATATTAAACGTCGTATAACTGGTCAGATCGTAGCTCCTACATACTAGTTAGTCTTATAAATAATGAATGCACCGTACAAACGTTTAATTTGATTTGCACACCTAGCTCATAAGCATTATACCTGCATGTGGTATACATTTAAGGCTGATACGCTGTATGATGAGTTCTGCGAAACACGGTTGCATCATGATTAAAGCAAGAAAAACAGGTCAAGTATAGGTAAGATGCACGAACTGACAAACTGTAAGAGGAGCGGATGAGTTATGCTTGAGTGCCTTAACTCCTTAATGTGAACAGTCAGACGAAATATTATTTTAGAAATCGCTGAGACATGGGAAGACCAGGATTGGTCAGAAGAAAGAATTAATCCAAGATACCTAACGCCAGACTTGATTTCTGTATCACTATCATCAATTATACAACGGTAATGAGAATTGACAGATTCATTTAACTTTCTTTTACATCTAAAACTGAAATGAACTGCCTGACATTTGGAAGGATTTAGTTTAAGACCGTTAGAAGAAGACCATTTGCTAATTCCTGATAGGAGGCTGTTCATTTCAGTACTGTCTAGCTAAGAGTTGACAGACACTGAAATAGTTAGATCATCGGCATACGTGACAAAGTAGATATTAAAACACTGCAGTTGTTGATCATAGAAATGATGGATATAAGATAACATCACATGATTCCACAGCATATCAGAAATAAATCAAAATCGTTCCTCAGCTCATCGTCAAGTAGACAGTCTATTCAATAATGCCACTGCGTATTAACTGATTAATGAAGTGGCTATCAGCCCTAATTTACTTGTACTACATACTTGCCGTTTAGCAGTATACAGACTTGCAATTGGCTAAATAAGGCGACTTTAGCGTAACGAACATTACAAAATTGTTATTCGACTTGATAAATGCTACTTAGTATTTGCAATGTACTACTGTATAGAAACAGACGCGAAATCCTATGAATGATTAAATTAACAGTCTCACAATACTATAGTAAATATTCATTCCACTAAGCTTAAAATGCATTAATCAGAATTCACATATTACGAAAGCTCATAGTATAGCAACGCACTGACGACGTTCAGAAGAAGTTGAAATAAAGAGTATATTAAACCTTTTCTTAGTTTACAAGAGAACATTTTGATGAAGGGCCCTAGCGTTAGTTTGACAGATTGACATTTCCACTGATTTCACATTCCATAACCTCCAAATACCTAAAATATGAAGCACAACACGAATTTATGAAAGATAATTTTATATACTAGTATACACTGCTTATATTAATACTAATTAAAGTTCTCATACAAATAAAAGTATTTGTAGTCTACAGCTGGTGTCAGCCACGTCTCGTAAACTGTTAATGCCCAGCTCTTGCTACGCTCGGGCTCACGCTGTCCCGTGAAGATTCTCAGAAACTCTTAGTAATAACGGACGCAAAAACAAAAAGACCGACTGGCCACTCGAGAATTCTTTATTGTAACACCAACATATAAAAATAATGTTTTTACTAGGGTCTGTGAACAAATATTACAATAATAAATCACAATATTACTTCTGACGGTTTATTACTGACTTCTTTCTGAACAGCGACCGATGAAACGATGACTGTCGTATTGATGCCTCCGCGAAAATTGGGGAAGTTGATTTTGAGCAAACAACAATGAATTGATCGTTCAATCTTCAACTCCATTGACACTCCCCGCCAGGTAAAGTGATCCATCCCTTTTTTCTTCATGACCAATAAACGTTGACTTGGATACCATTGCGAGAACCTGGGTCACATGGACAGAGCTGAAATGGAAAACAAACAGAAAAGCCAACACACCACAAGGATACTCACCGCACAATCTCACACATCAATGACGACCTGTGCCTTCCAGTCAAAAGCATCCTCTTGACATCTTGCAACCCAATCGCCACTTGCTAGAATGACTCTTGCAGAATGCAACGTGACCATGGCAGCACATCTTATCTACTCACTACCAATTACCACTGCAATCACTTGTCACTCATTCTGCCTCAATTCTAGTAACGATGATGTATGCGAGCCTCAGTCGTTTTTACTCTTTCTCCCCGGTGTGTGGGACCACAGCTAACAATTATCTCCGTGTGCATTTCATTCTCAGCAATAGCCTAGCCTCCCCGGCGCATACGACCCATCTGCTCTCCTTAACATCAATCAATTCATTCACGGATGTAGAAGACTCGAAATCACTTCAGAAGTAATCACGACGAAAATTTTAACAAAATTATGCAATGAAAGCAAAGTACGAAAACAACGAGTAAACACAATCAATCCAAAAACACCAAATGATATGACACACCACACATATATACAAACAGTACACACAAACTCGCAGATCGTGTCTCGATGCAATTCCTTTGAAGAATTGCAGGACTTACACAAGTACGCCTACAACCCTTCACA